CTTTAAAATTATTGCTATTCAAAGTGTGGTCTGCGGATCAGCAGCATCAGTATTACCTAGAAGCTCGTTAGAAATGTAGAATCTCAGACTTCATTGCAGAGCTGCTGAATGAGAATCTGTTTTACCAAGATTTCCAGGTGATTCACGTGTCCATTAAAGTTTGACGGGCATTGCTTACAAGGACTTAGCTCTACCTTCCCATTGGCTGTCTAAGTCCTTGTGAAGACATATTGGGACCCAGTAACAATAATCAAGGTCAGCTGTGCACCACAGAAAATGAACTATCACCAGACAATCTAATGATTGTTCCTACTGGTTATTTTGTTGGTCACTGAGGGTCTCTTTTGAGATGAAAGGGAACTTTTTCTCCAGAATTTAATTTGCCACTCCACAGCTAGAGAGGGTTGGCTTTATCAGATTCATTGATGAGCTCTAATAGTTTCCTGGTAGCATCTTTAGAATTTTCTATGTACACCATCATGTCATCTATGAAAATTGACAGTTTTACTTCTTTTCCACTTTGGAGTCTCTTTCTTTCTTTTCCTGATTGCTGTGGCTAGGACTTCCAAAACTAGGTTGAATAAAAGTGGCAACAGCGGACGTTTTTGTCTTGTTCCTGATCTCAGAGGCTATGCTTTTAGCTTTGCACCACTGAGAATGATATTAGCTGTGGGTTTTTCATATATGTTCTATATCATGTTGCGGTATGCTCCCTCGATGTCCATGTTCTGGACTTTTATCATAGATAGGTGTTGAATTGGGGGAAATTTTCCTGCATCTACTGAGATGATCATATGGTTTTAGTTCTTCCAGTTTGTTGATGTGGTGTATCATACTGATTCATTTGCAGGTATTGAAGAATTCTTGCACACTTGGGATAAAGCCCACTTGATCATGGTGTATGACCCTTTTAATACATTGTTGGCTTTTATTGGCTAGTATTTTTATTATTTTTGTGTCTATGTTCATTGGTGATATTGGCCTGAAATTTTTTGTGGTATGGGAATTTTATAGTTTTGAAGCACTGACAATATTCTATGTGACAACTGCAGCACATTGTCTTCATTTGTCTTGACTCATACACTGGCAGAAAATCACTGAGTGAATGTAACATTCAAATGGAAGCTCTCTGGTTGACCTTACTGGGATGAACATTGTATAGTTTTGCTTAAAAACCTCCTAACCAAGTAAAAGATAGCTGCCACTATTCCTCAGTATAAATAACAGCTTTTCCAAGACAAGAAAAGACAAGTTTTGCAGCAAAAACTGGCAATCTTGCCCCAGGATGAAGGGACTTAGACACACATTCCAAACACCACTAAAATAGAACCTCCGTTCTGAACATAATATAGTTGGACTAATAATGATATTGGCACCAGTGAGGAAAAGTGTTAATAGTAATAATAATGATGATAATATATTGTTTACTATTTGATAAGCACATACATATATGAATACAAACTCTCATGTTATACAATTTTCAAAAACTGGCATTCTTGTCTCTTACCGTTAGAAGCCTATGGTTAATGACTGCTGAAGGAATGTGCAGAGTGTGTGGTATGATATGCCTAATTCTCTCCAAATGTGTAGTAGAACAAAAGGTGCAGTAGTGTAAGAATGCCAGGACCAAGCAAACCAGTAGCGTGTTCTTTTTTGATATATATAAAGTCCTTCACACCACATTTTTTCAAGTGCACTGGGTTTAACTATAAGAAAATTCATTTGGGGGGCCAGAAATTAATCATATACAGTATGCTGAAAAAAAGTTTCTTCAAGAAAAGCTGTTGGCAAACCAGCATAACACAACTCTCATTACTCATCTGTTGAAACTTCACAGTTATGGCACAGAAACTGAAGGTACAAGTTGAAGTTGTTTGACTTGTTTTTTGGCTTCCTGTCTGACTGGCTGCTCACAAGGCCACAGACGGCCCATAACACTAGTAGTCTTTCCCCTGGTCTTTACTTACACAGTCCTATTATGGAACTTGCTGGTTTCAACAATGAAGGGAAGATTGATGGTCATATCCCATCAATCAGGAATGGGACAGGGACCTATCTTGGATTAAAGGAGTTTAATTCTGACTTACAGCTGGTACAGAGGGCAATGCTGGTTAAATTAAGCCTTTTCCTATACACTTATGCTGTGAAGTTATTAAAAGTGTACACTCACTTAACCTCTTAAAAAATCACATGGTGGAAAATGTTTGTTTACGTAGTCAGTCAGTTGTCTGTAGATGTGTGGATAATGGAAATCTAGCATAACTCAAACCATACAAGCTCTACCACTTGCTCTTGCCATCAGAATACACACGTTGGAAATCTCAGTTCAAAACACTTCCTCTACCAAGTGTAGTGAAGGGCAGTATGAGCCAGCTACCTGCGACTTCTTGTATATTTACAAAATGCTGACTCTTGATGATGAAAGAGATCTTTATTTTTAAAACAAGTATATTTTTAAAAACCTAAATTGGGTCACTTTATTTTCAGGTTAAGAGTTGATCCATGTTTTCAATTTATTGCCATACACAAATCATTTTATAAAAAATAATAGGGTAGACTGCCACTTCAACATCTTCATGTAAAAACTTCACAGTGCAAGAAAGTGATTACTAAAAAAGTATGAAGACATCTAAAGCCAGCTGATATTTTAATTATAGGGCAGGATATTTTTTTGTGATTCTTTCTGAAAAATGTTGGCACACTCATTAAATGCCCAGGTTACAAAAAATCACTTAGTATCACTTCTTACCCTTCAGTATATTTTTAAAATCTACATAGCATCATACTAAATGCTGGTGGGAAATAGAGTGTAAGACTCTAAAAAACTTCTCAGGTAGCACAGTAATTTAAAACCAACTAGGAGAAAGCATCCCCCTCCCCAAATACTTTTGTATGTGATTTTCTGTCCCTTAACCACAGTAACAAAGTAAAAAATCATTATACCTTAAAAAGAAGCTAAAAAGGGAAAGATTTCACTTCTCCTTTGAAAACACCACTTCTTACCTCTTAAAGAGAGAAATTTTCACTTTGTGTGTGTTGGGGGGGGTTGTTTCATAAAAATATCAAGTTTATGTCAATTGTACAAATGTTTCCTTTAGGAAAGAAAGGGAATGCTTTGATTCAGAGGATTTTAAAATATTTCATCACTACAAGAAAAGTGTAATCTTAAGCTAAAAAACTGTAACACATTGAACTAATACAAATCATCCACTGGCATATCCTATTGTTTCTCATAAAATGCATAATTAAGGAGTAATAGGTCAAAGATCTTTTCTCAATGTTTGGTCACATTAGCTAATCAGCCCTGGGCAAACCCCACACACCTGGAGCCTCAAGGTCCTCCTCTCTTACCTGAGGATCCCGGGCTAACAGCCCTTTAACATCCCTTCCTATTTACAAATTTGTGTAGAATTGTTAAGCTTGCATAATCCTTTTGAGAATGAGATGTTTCAACTTGTATTTTCCAGATAAATTTCCCCATTTAAGTATTGTAGCTGTTCTTTTAACATTTAAAATCTTACTTTAAAATTTATTCTCAATGTATTTCCCTGTCACCTTGAAAGATGAGGGAAGACTGACAACTTAAGTCTGGCAGCATCCTGGTCTCCTAGGCTAGGTAGCTGACGGTGATCAGCAGATACTGCTTGAGACCTGACTCCATCAGGGCAGCTCTGGGCCATACTCTGAGTCTCAAAACGAAGATGATACCACCTGTTTGCTATTTCTTAAGCCCAACAGAGTTATCATTATATACCAGATACACCAAAAATTTGTATACTACAAATTACCATATGAATGCAAATGATTTTTGTGATAAGCCCAAGGTGACTTTCTTTCCTGATGAAGTACAGATATCCTGATAAAGTATAGATAGGTAAGTTTTATGACAAGTTTTTCATCAATACTTGTGCATTTATGGTTTTAATCCTTTGGTTCCGTGACTCTTCTCCTGTTGTCAACCTGTCTCCTGCTTCTAATTATGCTTCTAATTGCAACATTTTGTGTCTCTTAAGAGTCCAGAAGTCTGACCTTTCCATAGAAGAAAACCAAACCTAAAGATCTGTTGCTTTAGCAAATGTGGTATCATTACTCACTTTAAAAGTGTGATTTTCTAACTAGGCAAGGCATCAGACTCATCTAGGAAGTGTTGTAAAAATTGAGATTTCTGGGCTATGGCTACAGAGTCTGATTCTGTATGTCTAGAGTAGGACCCAGAAAAACCTTCTCAAAAGCTCCCCTAGGTAATCTCAACAATCATTAGTATAGTTTCTAGGACTCAATGTTCTGCCCTCAATTTCTTAAATTCAATTTAGAATTTTAGCAGCTCGTCATTTTTAGTACAAAAATTTCCCACTGCATTAATCATAAGCACATTCAAAGTAGACTGCCCATGATCTTGGCTTAACTCCATAGGAAACTAGTCATTACAGTCCTTTGCAATAAAATTAAAAAATGATGAATTAACTTCCGAGTGAAGACAATGCATGTAGATGCTGAAAGGTGGCTGGTTCTACACTCACAGGGTGCCTGTTTGTTGCCTTAATCATAGTCTGAGGATCATTCTAATTGCATCTGTCGTTACTAAATAAAATCTGGCAGAACTCCTCTAAAACAGAAAAATGGCTAACCGGCTACTCTGTATTAAGGAACTGCTTCTAGTAGACATAAAGTATTTTTTAAAAAACAACCACACAAGCTTCCTGTAGAAATGCACTTTCATGCTTCTGAAGTCTACCATAAAGAGAGAGTTGACCAAAACTACTGTTGCTTAAAAATATGTTCAATTAACTGTGAAAATATAGGTGTAAAATAGGTACAACTTCGTCCTTTACGAGATTCAACAAGTGTAAATGAAATTAATCTGCCACCTATTCTACCTATCCAAATAGTTAACTGTGAACACGACGCATGAAGTATTTGGTATAACGTAGTTCTGATACCACCCCTTCCAAATTTAATAAAAAGCCACATCCGGATTTTTCCAGGGGTCCCAAGTGTGTCTAGGCACTGCGGAATGTCGTCATGTCTTTTGGTTCTCGGCTGGGGACACACCAGTCGTCAGCCTCGTGGTTGGTGTTGTAATGCTTCCAGGCAGCTTTGTTATACACCGGGAGTCTTTCTACTGATTCTGTTGACAGAGCCTGAGAGGAAAAGCAGGAGCTAAGTCAGGCACTTTTTGGGGAATCCATTATTTGAGAAAAATCTACAATGGCAAAAATTTTACTACAAATTAAACCATATTCTATATTGGATTTGTATTTTATCAATCATAAAACCATCTACATACAGTTTAAAATAGAGCACACATTTGAAACGTGCTACTTACTAAAAGCTTATGGCAACTGCTTAGTGCGCATGTTGAGTTTATTGCATGCAGTAATTCTCTCACCAGCCTAAAAGTTGCTGGTTTGGAGTTTTACAAAAGTGTGAGAGACATTCTTATAAAATTTGATTAACAGAAGTTCGTTTTCAACAGAAGTTGAAAAAGTCAGTTAAGTGTAAAAGCGTAAAAATTCACATAGGTACCTTAATATATGTAATGTAAAAGCATTTACTGAAATCTGGGTATGAGCCTGTGTCTTTTCCTACCATTAAAGTCACCAATTTTAGTTATAGCATATGTGATTTCCACATCATACATAGCTGACCCTCAGTATCACTGCCCACCCCACATGGATACCAAAAGCTGCTGATGCTCAAGTCCCTTATATAAAAATTGCTGCAGTATCTGCATATCATCTACACACATCCTCCTGCACCCTTTAAATCATCTCAAGATTAACTAGAGTAGCTAATACAATGTAAATGCTATACAAATACAATAAATATTATGTAAATAGTTGCTGATGTGCAAGAAAATCAAGTTTTGCTTTTTGCAATGTTCTGGTATTTTTTTCTTCAAATATTTTTGATTCATGCTTGGATCTATACAGAACTTGGGGATAAAGAGGGCAGACTGTATTTTCATATTTCCAACATTATCACCATTAAGTCACTGTTCTATTTCAGGTTCCTGTGTATCACTGAGATAAACTACGTTCCTCATTATCTTCAAATTAGGGTAAGTTGTTAAGATTTCAACTTTAAGCAAAAAGTATTCCCTAAGATGTAGAAAATATTACACTAGAAGTTTCATTACAATAATGGTAAGGAAGGACCTTAGTTTTAATTATTCTGTAAGACCTCCTGTATTCTATTTTTTTCCTAAATGGAGCTAAAAATCTTTCACCTATACTTATATTTTTTTATGTCAGAACTGCCACAACTCCTTGATCTATAACAAAAACAAACAAAAACATTATATTTGATGATAAAAAGGGAAACATGAAGGCACTATTTTTAAGTTCCTCACAATTGAGATGGTTAAGAAAGAAAACTATTATCTTCAAAGAACTTATTTTCAGACAAATTTACTTTTTCTAATGTAAAGTCTTCAGCATTTCCTATCAAATAGGTGCCATCTAGTGGCCAGAATAAGAGTAACTAGAGTCACTAAAAATGGAGGTACCTACCACCAGTCCGCTGCTGAACACACTGCTGGGGCTGAGGGCTTTCTACCCCTGTAATATTCGCTGATGTGTCAGATAAACACATCCCAGGTGAGTCTGCTTCCACCAGGTGAGCTGTACGCCTACCAAGGATCACCTGTAATTGTTCCTAAATTTGTAACATACTTAAATCTGTCACTGTTACTTAATCTAAGTACTGCTTTTAACCAAGCACACAAAAATGCAGGGGTGGCGTGGGGGTAAGGTTCTCTGAAAACTGAAATGACGTTTCATAAAGACTTGGGAAGGCAAGTTTTTTAAAAACTGCTCTCAAAAAAAGAGAAGACAACTGTAAGGAACTGCATAAAAATCAGTTAATGATTATGCACTTGGCTGTTTCTTTCATTAAAGAAACCAAAACAATGTATTGTAGGTATAGCTTCTGCAAGAAAGACAATTAAAACTTTAATCTGAAGACCCATATGCAAATGAAAGGCCTTAGCAAATATATCAAAGACTGGTCAATCAATATCCATTCAAGCATCTTAAATTACAAGTTTAATTTTAACATAACTTTTGACTGCCCACTTTAACCCAATTTTTCTTCTACTAACAATCATGGTACTGATCACTATGGGTAAGAGCATTTCTTTCTCACAAAGAGATCATTTGTCAAAACAGATGAGAGCTTTGTTAAAAAAAAAGAAACAAAACACATATGTTTGCATTTTAATAGCATGAGGTAGAAGAAAGTCTCATTACAGTTAAATACTGGTATCTTACAATCAAAAAGTCCAGAAGTGCCATTAAATCCAGAAGACTATGGTCTTTACCTTAATGTAAATGACTGCATCTGTCCCATAGCCCTCTAGGGAATAGAGCTTTAGGTCTCCTTGGAAATACTGCGCATAAAGGCGTGATATGGGCAATCCATAACCAAAACCAGCCTGTTTGAGAAAAATGAAATTTTATTCAGAAAGCCACACACTGAAATACTTTTCTAGTTAAAATAAATGCTACTGGAGTATCCCAGGGCTATTAAGAGCCTGCATCTAAAAGATCTGTTAATAATTAAGTAGTAAAAGTGATCAAGCTGCAGCCTAGTTGAGCACTGTATTAGACGGCTTCCCTCTGGTCATTTGAAATTTCTCTTTTTCCTGTAGAACAACCTATGGGGGTCTAGAAAAAGGATACTTCTTTCTTCTTTACTGGCCTGCTCCAGAGTATCCCTATACTACTTTCGGCGATATAATTTAAAACATGTTCTCTCTTTCAGGAGCAAGAGTAGAAAAATACCTGGTGGCAACCTAACAGATACATCTCATGACTTTATACCATGAATTCCAGCCTGAGTTCTGAACCTGGAGAGATCCCTAATAGGTCTCCTCTCTTAATATTCACTGACAGGTCATCTCCCCCACTTAAAAATCTTCAAAGCACCCCAACACCCACCGACCCTCACCATCTCCAACCCATTGCCTTGAGATAAAAATCCAAGCTTCTAAAAGAGAGCTTTCAAGATTTAACAAGATCAGGTCTGTGCCTCCCACTTTCCAGTCCAGCTGAAGTAAATCTCCTGCTCCTAAGTTCCTCAAGCACATCATGTTATTTTTCACAGCTGTGTCTTTGCTCATTTTGTTCCCAGTATCTGGAATGGCTTTTACCTGGCTAAATCCTATCAATTCTTTAATATGAAGCAGAACATTTGGATAAGTGTTAAAAAAAAAAAAAAAGGTTTCTTTATCACCAACTCAGGTGTTTAATGACATTTCATATAATAGTTTAGTGAAGAGTGTATGTGATTCCAGAATCGGTGCTATTAACGAATCCAGGCTCTGGCCTTATCTACCTCCACCATTTTTTACTTGACTTCTTAAACCAGAGTTTCTGTTGCCCCTCCAAATAAACTATCCATTCTCCACATTTCTCCTTGTCCTGGGAGGCTGACCTGAATTGATGTGGGTGGGTTTCTGTGCCCTCCGCTTCTGTGTCTAGCCGATGGGGAACCCAGCAGGAGTTCGGAGGGAGCTATCCGGGTCATCACCCCCTTCACCTGGGCGGGCTAGGCCCTGGGGAGTAAGCAGCTGACTCTAACACTCCCTTCTGGGTTCTGCTGACTTCTCCCTGCGTCAGGTGGCGACAGCTCTGCTGCTGCTAGCCTGGATTCCTGTACTATCCCATCCCTCTTTCTGTAATTTGTCTCTTTATAGATAAGCCTTCCATGAATTATAATTTGAACTATCTCTTTCCAAGTGAAACTCTGACTGATACATTAGCTGGTTCCATTTCTGCATGAGCAGGTGGCTCAGGATCCCGCAGTACCTGATCTACTTCATCACTGCCTCTCCCTCAAGCACACACCTGCAGACCCCTCAGGCTTCCCTGTAAGTAGTTGGAAGAAACTAAGTTTTGTCTAACTAACGCTAACTAACACTGTGGGCTTGGCCCACTGCTGGGTCTGCACAGCATCCCACACCAGCCAAAAGCGAACTGCCCTGTCACTGCAGCCTCTCTCAGGGCCAGGCCTGAAAGACAGCAGTGAAAGCAGATCCTACCAGTGGGTGGAACTTGGAGAGGAACACCTACATGGACCACGGGCAGCGGCAACTGGGCTGGCTGGTCAGAGACTTGGAAAGAACAAAACTGGATAACTGACGAAGAAGAGGGAAACGTGGATGGTCATTTTTGAATGGGCTTATGGCATGAAGACATTCTGTCCATGCAGATGCGCACCTGAAGGCACCCACGTGAAGATAGCTCTCAGTAATCAGTGTGACCTGATGGCTGCCCCAGTGCTTGCTTACTGGTCCACTTACAAAGGGGTCATGAGAGCAGGAAGGAGGCTCTGTAAAAGCTCAACAGCAGGCTTACCCTCGGGAAGGCTGCGGAGGTGTGTGGGCAGCCTGTGTCATGTCAATCCTCCTGTTTTTCCTAAAAATTCACATAAATCTTGCATCCTAAACAACAACACTTACACAGCATCTACTATGTACCAGGTACTATTAAATAATGTGTTTACATATATTGACTTCATCTTCACACTAATTCAATCTTTAAGGCTGGGGAAATTGTGGTACTGAAGGGTCAATGATATTCCCAAGGCTGAAGGGCTAGGATGTGGTGGGGCTGAGGATGGAGCAAACAGTTTTAAGTTTAGAGTCTGGACGAGGACACTCTGCTCCTCTCCACAAAAACTCTACAAAATCTGTTTACTGCAAAAGGAGCATATCCCTCTTCTCCACTTCTTAGAGTAAAACCAGAATCTAAGAAGATACTTATGTTTATTTCACCTTTTCTGTTCTTGATGCCTACCCATATCTCAACTAGAGCAATCATTTAAAAGGTAAGACATCTGTGCTGGTTAACTAGAATGTGCTGCACAGTTTTAATGAAGTCCTTTCAGTGACTTCCTAGGAAAGAGTCTAAAATAAACGCATCTTAGACTGTTTTTTTCATCATATTACAAAATAACTCCAGTGTATATGCCAGAGAACCTTCAAAGCCTGGAACAACAAGAGTTTTGGGTGAGAGATTTGGCAAAGCACTTTTCTGAGGGCTGGAGGACCAGGACTGAGTCCATTCAAAAGCTAATCTTACTAATCTGAAAAGAGGTGACTGACTTTTTTTTTAAAGCCATCAACACAATTGTTATTTGAGCCATAGGCGATTAAATTGGTTAGAACTCTAGTATTACTTCTGGGCCTCAAATGTGTAGTCTTTCTAATTACAAGTACTTGAGGGGAAAAAAAAGACTAAAGATTGAATCAGTATTGACCAAATACTAGTAAAGCTGGTAATTTAGACTTCATATTAGTAACAGTATATCAAAATGTTTACCACATGGACACTACTGACACACCATTATCAAGGTTGGCAGTAAGAACTCTAAAACCCTTATCATTTAAAAAAAAACATTTCAAAAACTATAAATTTAGGGGAAAGTGTTGTTGCTGTTTTTCTCTAATAGCTTCCTTTCATCCTGTCTGTGAACCCCACACAATGGCTTAACTGATTTATATGGTAAGCTCTGTTCTGGCAAGTCACAAAAACCCACTTCACGACTTTGTGGTCACACACCAGGGGCACCGCTCGGGACGTCTCCACGCGAGGCCGGGGCGCAGTGGAGTACATGTAGTTAAAGAGTCGGTCGATCTTCCTCAGAGGAACACCACCTCCTCGGTCACTCATCTAGGAAGAGAAAGGATCATGCCCTGTGACCAAGTCCAATAAACAGCAAAATACCCATGCATGCAATGTCACCATTTAACTGTGGCTGACGAGCCCTGCTTTTCAAAATGAATACCAGGCAATTCAAGTTACAAACATAAACATTTCCCCCACTGCGGACTTAATCCCTCTGATATACAGAATTTTAAGATATAAAGAACTCCACTGTGATACAAATTTTCAATGCTGTTGTTTAGTGGCTAAATTATGTTTGACTCTTTTGCAACACCATAGACTGTAGCTTGCCAGGCTCCCCTGTCCATGGGCTTCTCTAGGTAAGAATATTGGAGTGGCTCGCAATTTCCTTCTCAAGGGGATCTTCCCAGCCCAGGGATTGAACCTGCATCTCTCAAAAGAGATGGTTTGCATGCTCTACCACCGAGACACCTGGGAAGCCTGCTTTCAATGCTGTGGTTTTGTGTAATTACTGCAGTCACACTAAAGATGCAGCACACAATGGGGAACGGGTTTAGCTTATCTTGGATAACAACAAATTTGTAATTCCTCTCTGACAGGCAGTTTGGCAACCCGATTAAACACGCATGTACCCTTTGACCCAACAATGTTTATCTTAAGAAAATTATGAGAAAAGCATGCAAAGTATGTATGAGAATATCCATTACAGCACTATGTAGAACAGCTAAAACTGGATTACCACCTAAACAGGGGGCTATTTAAGTAAACTAATATACATTCTAAAATAGAATACTATCTTGCCATTAAATATTACATAGAACTATATGTATTGGCATGGGATGTTCATAAAATATTGTTAAGTAGGAAAAAGATGGAGGAAACATTTATAACATTCTAATTCCATAAAAATTACAGAAGTCTATGATGAAATACAATTTTATTTCAATGGAATTATAAGTGATTTTCTTCTTTGGGGGCTTTAGTTTCTTAATTTTTTCCCACAATTACTTCTATTATTGTAAAAAAGTATAATTTTCATTTTCAGGGAGCTAAAAATAGAACCATTTCATTGTGTTTTAAGAGTCTCATCAATTTCACAGCATAGTCTCCCAGACAACTTTCTGGTGAGTTATAAAGGACACAGTTCTTTGTGTTGTTCTTATGTACTTTTCCAACTCAAATCATACGCTATACTGAATTTGGTAATTTATTTACAGATTGTCTTCATTATGTCAATTATGTTCAATTAACATGGTACATATTTTCCTAGCTTGTCTTGAGAGTCTCTTGGACTGCAAGATCAAGCCAATCGATCAAGCCAATAACCCCTAAAGGAAATCAACCCCGAATATTCATTGGAAGGACTGATGCTGAAGCTCCAATACTTTGGCCACCTGAGGTGAAGAGTCAACTCAGAAAAAGATATGGGTGCTCGGAAAGACTGAGGGCAGGAGAAGGGGGAGGCAGATGATGAGATGGTTGGATGGCATCACCAACTCAATGGACATGAACTTGAGCAAACTCCAGGAGACATTGGAAGATAGAGGAGCCTGGAGTGCTGCAGTCCATGGGATCACAAAGTGTTGGACACGACTTTGCAACTGAACAGCAACAACACATTGTATAGCTTTGTCTTCTAATCTACTATAGCTATTTTCTCTTGTCACAAAATCTAAATTGATTCTACTATCTATAATATTAACATGGTTGTGATTTTCAAACAAACCTACTTTTAACGGATTGATATATAGATAAAAATCATACTGAATTATATGAAATAAAAAGTCAATTTGAATGGCTTGTGGTGTTAGTTGCTCAGTAACAGCATATAGTTGAGTTTTGGGGGGTTTGAGTTTTTATAGTCTCAAAAAACTTTCAGTTCAGCTCAGTCACTCACTCAGTCATGTCCAACTTTTTGCAACCCCATTGACTGCAGCACACTAGGCTTCCCTGTCCATCACCAACTCCCGGAGCTTGCTCAAACTCATGTCAGTTGAGTCAAAAAACTGTGTGTGTGTGTGTGTGTACACATATATTGCTCTCACAGTAGAAATTCACAGATATTTTAATTTTTAAAATAAAAATCTGCTTTGAAATGCCATTTGAAGACTTGCCTCTGATATGTCTATAATTAGATAATTACAGTATAAAAATATACAAGAACATTATTAGGAACTTGTATGTAGCATTACGCTTGAAATTGTTCTTGGCTATGAATTCGAAGCCCTGTGAAGAGATTTATTTTAGTAAGATGAATAAAGGGCTCTGGGAATTTTCTGAAATGCATCAATTTGTTAATTATTCATCCTTCAATTTAATGCTCTGTTACATATTTACTGGTAACATGAATCAGAAGCATGGTTCTACAAATATTAAGTAAGTAAAAAACAAATTAGAATAGATACTAAGATAAGAAGGTACAGTTCAGCAAATATTTTGTGATTTTCCTTAACCTTCTGGCCAGAAACAGTACGGCAATCCAGCAGATATGACACAAGAAGTGATTTCTAGCCATGAGACAGTAGGATAAGAGCAGAGTGGAGCAGAGAGGCCAGAGGTGCGTTTGAAAAGTGCCATCTCCTTAGAAGTAAAGGGGTCATCTAAGCCATCGGATCATAGTTAAAAACTGATAAAGCTAACTGCTTTTTCTCTGTAGCCAAAAGTGTAATAATACATTGCAACCAAAGCTGGGGCCAGTTTTAAAGTGGTCAAAAGTGTTTCCATGCAACTTGTTAACAGATATTATACCAGAGAACATGAGTTCTTTGGGGGAAAGGGAAGGAGGGACTAATGGAGAGACAGACATTTGGTCTGTGTATCTTCAAGACAAGAACTGCACTCTGATGACAAATATACTGTGAAAGAGATGTGGAAATAAAAAAATCTCTGAAGACTATTTGAAGAAAAATTTGAGAAGCATAGAAACACAAGACTATGTCAAGGGAAAGGAAACAGAATGTGAAAGTGGAGGGTGGTGTGGGGTCATGTCAACAGGAAGGCGGAGGAAGAGAAGTTTGCCAATTACTTTTAAAGTTTTCTCCCTGGTGCATGAAACCACCACTTCTCAATGTCACGCAACCAAGACCTGCCATCCCCAATGTCCTGGTTCTCATAATGCTAGGCTCCCTGGCTAACATACGTGGATTTTCAGGTCCAAGGAAACGAACCATTACTAACTTGATGACAGTTCTGAAGGCAGGAAATTTACTAACTTTGAACTCACCCATAGCTCCTGAAGATTCTTATACAACAGTTTTTTCAAGGTCAGGTGTATAAAAAAAAAAAATTGCCAACAGTGAATGAATCAAGATGTGTAAGTTTTAATTTATCAGATATGTGGCTATAATACTTATGTCACTTATTGCAATTGGACCAAACACCAAGTCTGAAAGAGCAGTCAGACTTGTAAGTTAGAAAAAAATAATTCTAACTTAGCAGAGGGATAACAAGTTAGAAATGTCAATAATTTGAACAGTGAAAAGAGTGGGGAAAAAAAATTCCAGGTCTTGATCCTGAAAGTCTAGAGTAAGGGATGGGGTTCAAAGCTCTATGTAAAGAGCTAACAAGGGTAGATGCAGTCATGTGACCTGGATTTGAAGAGGCAGAGCCTAATACAGCTAAGACCTTTTACAAACACTTCTGAAACAGTCTGTTCAAGACCCTTATGAGCTTTGCTTTTTTAAAACAGCTTGATGAAAATATAATTCACATACCATACTATCCATCCATTTAAAGTGTACAACTCAGGGGCTTCCCTGGTGGATCAGTGGCTAAGACTCTATACTCCCAAGGCAGGGGGCCTGGGTTCAATCCCTGGCCAGGAAACTAGATCCCACATGCCGCAGCTACAGTTTGCACGCCATGTGCTGCAATTAAGACCCAGCACAGCCAAATAAATAAAAATAAATATAAAAAAATAAACAATGAAATTTTCAAAAAAGTGTGCAACTCCATGGCTTTTTAACAAACAGGCATACCTCTGAGATATTGCAAGTTCAGTTCCAGACACCACAAAAAAGCAAATATTGCTATAAACCAATTCACTTGAATTTTTTGGTTTCCCAGTGCCTATAAAAGTTATGTTTACATTTATACTGTAGTCAATGAAGTGTGCAAAAGCATTAGGTCTAAAAAATGTACATATCCATTAATTTAAAAATAAAAAACAAAAAACCAATTAGAATAATATCAAAGATCATTGATCACTATAACAAACATGATAATGAGAAAGTTCGAAATATTGCAAGAATCGCCAAAATGTGACACAGAGAAATGAAGTGAGCAAATGCTGTTGGTTAAAATGATGCTGACAGACTTAGTCAATGCAGGGTTGCCACAAACCTTCCATTTGTAAAAAATGCAGTATCTGCAAAGTGCAATTAAGTAAAACAAGGCAAGGTATGCCTACATTCATAGGTACGTGCAACCATTTCCCCAGTCAATTTCAGAATATTTTCATTACCTCAAAAAGAAACCCTGGACTCCTAATTGATTACACTCCTAAGTAACCACTAATGTATTTCTTGTCCTTAATATATTTGTCTGTTTTGGACATTTCATTTAAATGAAATCATATATAGTGTGTGGCCTTTTGTGTTTAGTTTTTTTTTACTTGACATATTTTTAATGTCGTAGCATTCATGTTGTAGCATGCACCAATACCTCACTGTTTTTATGGGCAAATAATATTCCACTATATACCACATTTTTGTTTATTTATTATTCAGCTGATGAACATCTGGGTTGTTTTTAGCTCTTGGCTGTTGTGAATAATGTTACTATGAACACTCATTGCTTAAATACCTGTTTTCAAGCTTTGGGGGTATATATCTCAGAGTGTAACTGCTGGGTTATCATGAACATTTCTTTACACCAAACAGGCAGGCTCCCTTAGCAAAGCCTGTCCAACCAGCACAGAACAAGTCTCTGAGTGCCTAAGAGCTCAGTGAATACTGATCCATGCAGTGATGGATGACCACAAGTAACGGAATGCAACTGCAGACCAGCATGCTCAAGCACATAAAACAGGAGCAGGAAAGGGTATG